AGTTACCACAACCATTTGACCAAAAAAGCATTAAATATAAAACCAGTGTTAAATAATTCAACTGTGGTAGAAGGTTACCCGCAGTAACCTCCAACCGTCTATGTAACTGACGTGTGTGTCCAGCCATGTAATTCAGTACTCACATTTTCAGCGACAATGTATTGAAATGAATAGCCCATTGAAGATAGAATATAATACTAGCCACTGAATTTTGCCACAGAAAATGGGACGAAGAAAGGTTTCATCAATGATGGTTCTAAAATTTGATGCTTTTTTTTCAACATTCTGTCTATAAAACAGTAATCGAATTATTATGTGTATTTAAATTTTTAATCAGTCAAAGTGGTACATATTTGGAATTTAGATTTTAAAACATAACATACATAAAACATAACATCACGCCTTTCTTCCTCGAAGGGGTAGACAGAGGTGCACATTTTGGCACTTAATGCCACTGTACCATGTAACACTCACTTTTCACTATTTTTTGTTATAAAATAAAAAATACGTGTCTAATATTTTTAAATAATCTACCAGACGGACATTAAAATAAAAATTAGTCGTCTACCCCATTAAAAAAAACCAGTAATACTTTGCCCGACCCGAGTATCGAACCCGAGAACCCTTGCCCGGTATTCGCATTTGCGACCACTCTGCCAACGAGGCAGTCCCCGATTTTAAAATCTTCCATAATAAGAAGAGTTTAGTGTGAATTTCGTATCAGTTCTTCAGACATTTTAAATTTATTGAATAACATGGCCAGGTAAAGGTGGGTGTTCAATTAATTCACCACTGGCCATCTTTTCGAGGAAAAAGTGACGTCATATTGTTATTAAATCCAATAATACCCCGCAGCAAAATCAACAAATTAATACAAGAGCGTCGTTCTTATTAAAAAAAAAATAGAACACAATATATTTATCAAGCCGAAACAATTATTACGAATTTCCTTCCTATCAGAATATTGGTATTTTATTAATTTCGGCCCAAACGTGCCGCCGCCGGCTAAACAAAATTGATTTTTTAGCGTACGAAGTTCTTTTTTAATTCTCTGTCAAGCCAGAAGCCATCCGTCAATGGAGAATATAATGTGAGGGAAAATAAAAGCTATTTTAAGGCCACCATCAATATTTGTACAGGTTATGTGTTAAATGGTTTTTTGACTACATAACATTAAAGTTCAAGGTCTTTGAGGCATTCTGTCTACATTACAACAAATATTTATTCATCCCAGGAAAATAAATATGGAGTTGTATGTAGACAGGAATGCCTCTCTATGTTATCATTATTATAATGATAACATAACATTTGTCTGTCTGTCTATCAGTTTGTACTGGATAATGTTTGAAATGGCTGGACCGATTTTGACGGGACTTCATTGGCAGATAGTTATTGAGGAGTAATATTGGTTACTTTATTATAGAAAACCGCAGCGAAAGTAGCGGATTCAGCTAGCCTAGAATAAAATTATATCTTTCAATCTCTTTAGTGAATTTGAAAACTACCAAAAACCGTACGCTTTAGTGATATGCTCTGGAGAGCACATAACCTTTATAATCATTGCCCAACTTTACAGTACATAACCATGACATTGACCGTAGAAACTGGACACTTACCACGGTACTTACCATTATCATATAACCCTTGAAATCCCTACGGAATAAATAGAGATACACGTAATACTAAGATCCTTCGTAAAAACCTCGGGACGTAAATGTGAGCCGTACCTAATCGCTGTCCCTCAGCTGACTTTTACGACATACGGACTGACAGAAGAAACATTACGTTTTCTTTATACACATCCAGTATTGAAGGAAATATGTTCCCAATATGTTTCTTGAGATAAATCCAAAAATATAGGGTTTTTAGATCATCCTGTTGATGTAAAGAAATTTATTATTCGCCGTCGCATGTCTATCGATGTTCAGTATATTTTGTTGTGCCATCGATTTGCCGTCAAACTCGTGCCGTAGCGCAGGTGTGCTCGAGAACACCTAAAATTATCTTGACATTTTATTGGCACGAACCTCGATTCTGTTAATTAAAATGTCTTGGGTACATTTTCCATTACGAAGTGAGTTCGATAGCGATTTTGTAAAGAAATTTATGCAATGGAAGTTAGGGGGAGCCTGATGTGCTTTCTTTGAACTTTTAAAATGTTCTTCGGTGGATTTATATTTAGCGCTTATTTTTCCCCTTTTTAATTTATTTTGAAATTGAAGGTGGATTCTAAATTGTTTTTCGGCGTTGTAATTAAAGTTTTATATTTCATGATGATAAAATGTCTTCCTTATATATACACCATGATTTTTTATTTTCAAATGAGTATATACCTAGTCAGAGGTATATCGGCAACTACAATAGGTACCTATTACTACAAATACCTTGTATAATTAATTACTTATTCAATAAATCCAAGTTTCGTCCTTTGAAGAATAAACAATAACAAGAAACAGTATTCTATGAATTATAAAAAAAGAACAAGTACTTCAATATTTTTACATTTCAAACTCACCTTTACACCAATAAAATGTAAAAAATGTAGCTCAAAAATATTCTTCAAACATTTTCGAGCGAGCATTTTTCTAGAAAAGCAAAGAAACAAAAAAGGATCGCCCCGTTCATTCGAAATTCAAAGTGTTAAAATGTTTGCCGCGAAATGTACGGGAAGTCGGTTGACGTTAGCCTGTCAGTGTGAGTCACGTGGGAGTCGCTGGTATAGTTTGACATTTTCCGTACATAAAAAGAAAATAGTGATAAAATATTTGTCGGCATACATCGTAAGGTTATGCTTTCGGAAGGTCAAAATGATTTATATTATGTTCTTGTATCTTTGGTTTTAATGTAAATGCCCTTCATGTGTGTGGGTGTTTAGATAATATGTTTTATGTATACAACCGAAAGGCAGGCAGACGAAGTATTGTTATAGGGTTTTCGGTTTAAAATTTTTTAGCCAAAGCAAATCTAGAACCGTTTCCTGAGACTAAATACTGAGGTATACAATATTCTCTTATTACTCAACACTATCATAATGAGCCAAAATATTTATAAAGAGAAATAAACCTTCTTTATATGCAATTAAGATACTCAACACAATTCTTTTCAATTTCACACAATTCTAACTTCACCATTCCATCACATGTTTCAAAAAATAAACCTTACCTTCTTGACAATAAACCTCAGTTTCACCCGTTTACAAAATTATTATAGTACTGCAAAATGCGACAGGAGGTCTCTAAAGTTGTAGGGATTATTTGGATGAATATTGTTGAAACTTTTGCTCGCAGTCACAGCTGTTAGGATTTACAAAACAATAGTTGCTTCTATGTCAGTTTAAGAATTTAAGCTACACTGTTAAACTATGCTGTAACTATATTCGTCAACAAAAAGTATAATTATATTTTAATTTTATTGTCAAGACCTGTATTTACTTAAAATAAAGATAAACAAATTGCTCAGTTGTCAGGTTATTATAATAAATAAAACAACAAAATTATATTATGACGACACTGCCTTAGTGCATTTTATTAATTACATTATTATTATGCGTCCTCAGATAACGCAAATATAACAATAAATTCAAAACAATGCATTAATTTCTTCTATACAACTACATTTTTAAAAATTGTGTATATTTATATCACATAGTGTATGTTTTTGATTTTATACTCATTACTATTCAAATTTTGAAATAATTTATTTATCTTTTTTAATTAATATTTTTTGTGTTAAATTTCTTTCAGGTACCTACGCACTATATGATTGGGGTTTGAACTACTGAAACAAATAGAGATGAGAATGAATTTCATTTTCTTCATGTTCGACGTTTTCATTGCCAAGTTTTTGAATGATTTATTTAAAGGGTGCCCAACAAATACTTAATGAACTTAGCTGTCGAAGTTTCCAAGAATTCGAAACGAATTCATTAATGTTTCGGTCTGTAAATGTATCTAAAGAAATATCTATTATGTTGGTAATTAACTCGCTACATTCACGTTTTAATTAGTCTTAAGAAAAACATCTTTCACTAAACACGGACAACAAAAACATCTTGGATTTAGACCAAAAATATATTCAAACATTTCTTCTCCATAGAAAATTATGAAATATTTTACTTTTCACCATTTTTATACTGAATTTTTGAAGAGTGAACCGCACCCACTTTATTTATCTTTGTATCCGCACAAAGGTTTTTAAAACTCACTCCACACAAAATTCAAGTTTAAGCCCTTTTTAAATTTAGAACACAGAGTCGAGATCATTATAAAAAAAAAACTAACTACTTATAACACAGTTGACATAATTAATTGAAAATGTTATATTCGGTTATTAAAATTAAGTACAAGAACACGAATCACTTAAACAGAATGATATGAAAGAACCTTCGTAACATGTATTGTCGTTTTTTATTATAGTAACTTCTTAAATCTAATGTATAAACTATTACTAAATATTTGTGTTAGTCTATTGATATTTGTATCGTTATTCAAATTATTATCTTAATTACGAATAATTGAATGTTTTCGACGCAAGCAGTGAAGCGTTGTGATTTAGGCCTGTGACAATAGTTAGGGATATACGCGTATTATAGGTCACCATAGGAAGAGATAAAGGGTCTTAAGAGCGAGCAATGACGTCACTGCTTCTGAGAAATTCAATAGTACGTTGATCTTATAATAATTGGTGGTGAGCACCTCCATTTGAGCCCATTGTTCCTCATAAATGAATAATTCACTATTCAATCTAGGTATTTTTAAATGAATAGGAACAAAGGTTTAGGTCGTCTTCTAGTCTATTCACTTGTATTTCTGACTCTGTAGTAAGTACTCAAAATTCAAGATGGTTCTAGAAAATGACTGCACGGTTGGTGCCATGGTTGGCTAACCAGCTGCCGCGCAATGTGTCGTGGGTTCGATTCCCACACGAAGCAACTCTTTATGTGATCCACAAATTGTTGTTTCGAGTCTGGGTGTGACGTGTATGTGAACTTGTATGTTTGTAAACGCACCCAGGACACAGGAGAAAATCCTAGAATGGGGCAAAGTTTAAAAAAATAGCACGTGAGAAATTACGTCAGAAATGTGAGTGCTTTTCTCTAGTTTTCTAGTTATAGTGATGTGCGTAAACTCGCTCTGAAGCCCGGAAATAGACAAGCTTATGGGATAAGCCTCCAAGGGACTGTCGCGTCATATTCAGCGAATGATAATTTAGACAACGTTCCACGCTTCTAGTTTATAAGATAAAGAGAAAATGTTTATGGCCGCAATAGTTTAGAATAAAGATATAGGTACTTTTTAGGTATCATATTTTATACAGGGATTTATAGATTTCTAGCAGGAAGAGTTGTCGAAACATCCAACAATACATTTTTTGCAAAAGCCAATAACACTTTACATACCTATTCAGAACACTCATAACTAAATTAGGCAGCCATTTTGAAATCTTACAATACTTCCATTAGTAGCAAAGACGAACTAAGAATTAGCATTACGATGTTACCTATTTCATACAAATATTGTAGCAAGCGAAACGTATAACTAATTAATTACACTAATTAACCATTTATCTATAATTCAGTCACATTCATCTTATACAAGCACTTGCATTATATTTGCTCTGAATATTGAACACTTTACATAACAAATTATTTACTCATGCGATTACATAGTTAGGCATAATTCAAAATGATGTTGATGCATGTTACATTCATTGAAAACGGAACTCTATTAGGCCATTGAAAAGTATCAAAATGTGTCAGCACATGTAACTACTCAAAACTGCTATGTTCTCATATTACCAAAGACAGCTTCAAGTATTCGATAAGAGTGTTATTGACGTTCAATTTAGCGTAGCTTTGCCGTGTATCAGTGGTGTGGGTAAACCTCTTTTATTCTGTTCTGACTCTATTCAGTTTTCCAACTATTTATGTGTCTATTACCTATATATTTGCGGCGTAGTCCCCTGTTGTCGCAGCTCCGTGACGTGGCCCCTAAATCCGTCAGCGAGTGTAACGTTATTGGAATCCCCAACATAATTGATTCAACGTACTCATGTGTTTTGCGCAACGCAGTAGCGAATATTAAAATAAAATATTAAAAAAATATTTAGTGCTACTCGTTTCTAATACTGCCACTATTTTTATTACATTTCAATATACACGGCTTCTATACATTTATTATTTTAAATTTTGCATTACAGCTCTATGTTTATATATCTATGTCTTCGTAAAGTGCAATCGAAAGAGGTTTCTGTTTAGTACCCATGATACAGACCAACTCATTTACATCCACTTGATTCCCTAATCCACCATCTTAGTCTTCATAACAAGAATTTATTTAAAACTCGACTAATTGGTAAAAAATGTCTACATTTCGACACCTACATTCTCATAAGGCTTCTTCGTTATAAACTCCTACGTTGATCTGAAACAATGGAAATATTCAATGAGTTACAATTCAAGGCATATCGTGAAATAAATCACTAACTTTTCAACTGAGAATATCTTACAAAGTTGTATTAAATTTTAATGTTCGAACTGATTTTTATTTGAAAAGTTTATTGTTTGAAGTTTTTGACTTCTCAGTTCAGGTATCTGAATATCAGTTTTAGGTGTTAATAATGTCACGTCGCGCATTGTATTCTAAAAATATGAGATAAAAAGTTCGAACGTGTTTGAATAACAGACCATTTTGTCAACGTTTCGTACATCTTGTCACAAAAGTAGTCTTCTTCAAACTTATAAGTCTATCATTAATTTTGTTTAAAACTTTATTATAACGATTAAAGAGTGTGAAGATGTAAACAGGAGTAGATATGGAAGTTTCTTGTACTTATAAAGTTATTAAGGATACTCACATAATATATCAGTGCTTATACTACACCACATGAACAGGGCAGCTGCCCTTAGCTCTAACGTTGTCTAGCGGCGGCGCAATCACCACATATGTGTCTCGACTGGTAGGAACCTCAATGTCATCTCCTGCGAACAGTGGGGGAGGGGGAATGACGTCATCGTCCACCTCATCCTCAGTGACCTCAGCTCGCTTGCTCCGGCCCGGCATGTAGTTCATAACACACGTCACAGCAATCAGGAACAGAAAGAATATGAACACCACGTCGAACATGATTAGAAAATTCAGCATTACAAGTTGCATGTCACTGGCTAACTCCCCTTACATTCTGCGCGTGACGAACCGATTGATATTCTCATTTTACTGCATTGTTTTTGGTGTTTGATATCTGGAACAAAAAATATAGCGTTACAGAGCGAATACTAGTAAGATAATGGTCTGGCAAGTCTTTGGGTTTCCTCAGGAGGATGTAGGTTTTTCGCAATAAGGTCCGTATCGTCTTTTACACATACTTTAGAGAGTTTAATCAACTGATAAAAGCTACTAGGCTACCCTTGTCCATACATTGAAGTTCAATGACCGAACATTTATACGTCCAACACAAATATAATCCCTAAAAACATTACCGATAACAGTAACATTACCCATTCTCGGTAAAGGTTTTGGTAAATACTCGGGTTCTACAACACAAACGAGGGTAATGCAGACAAATTAACAAATAAATGTTCCCCTTACCAATCCTATATGCTTTTCCGAAGTCTTATTCGGAAAAATGATCCGTAAAACATCGAATTTTCCGCTTCGGAAATTCTCGTGCGGTCCCGTTACATTGTTTTCACGCGCAGTTTAATCTGGATTTAAAACGTTACAAAAAGAATTGCCTGCTACCTTTGATACTCGTATTTAATACGGACCTTACTTTCCGGACGGCTGCGAGCTCTTCACGTTAAAAAAACCATACATTTTAATCGAGTGCCTTAACGATTACCGGCCTAAGTAACACAAATAAATATTTATTTCTGTTTCACATTTGCATGTTAACGGAACGAAATAAATCGGGTGGAGAGTAGATTCATTCCCTTTGTTCGCGTAAAAGCTGTAACTTGGAGATTTATGTAGCGAACCTTTCATTTGACAGTATCTTATATGTTTTGTTTGTGGTTTATGTAACACCTCGTGTCGATACGGAATATTTTGTGATACGTTGGTTCCAGGAAAAATAGTGAATTTGTTTAGTGATATTAAAGAAATATTGTTTTTTTTTGTGCTTCAAGCCCCGTCTAGACGTGTATTTACATTCTCTGATTGAATCTAGTTTTATATCGTCGGCCCACCACAAAATATGTAAAAAAGAAAATGTGAGTGCTTTACAGGCTTCCCAGATCTCAAATTAAATCAAATTCTAGTGTACTTCAAAATAGATTCTTTGCTCTTTATATTACATGGTACTCATAACATAAATAGTGAAAAGTGAGTGTTACATTAAGTGCCGTAATGTGCTTCTTTGCCTACCCCTTCGGTGATAAAAGGCGTAATGTTATGTTATGTTGTGTTACGAAAACCACGACATTATTACTTCACAATAGTCAATATCATAATACTTTACGAATTCATATAGGCACACCTAAAATTTTCATGTATACTACCCACAAAATTACCAATTTTATCTCGAAAATTTCTATTAAGAGAATAAGAAAACAATATACCAAATAATTTGAAACACGTCTCTTCACAAAAAAGGCCATCCTTTATCAAATTGTTACTTGTAAAAAGTTCTATAAAGTTCCATACATTTGCGTAGCCGAAGGGAAGGGCAAATGTTTTGTCATTTGTACAAGATATCAATTTGATGCAGAGCACCAGAAGTTTCGAAGAACAAAGTTTTTTATATACACATCTATATAATGTTCTGTAGATACTTGTAGATAGTTCAGTCGTTGTGAGTTACATTTAGAAGAAAATGATAGGGACTTACTTTTCTTGAATGAATGTTAACATTTACGCAAATATATAATTTATGTTCGGAGTTATTTTTAAATGAGAGCGCCTTGTAATTGTTATTTATATTGACCTTTCAACGTATTCAAAGTATAAACTATGCATATTTTATGACGAAAATGGAAGATTTTATTATGAAATGAAATTATCAAAGTTTTTAAATACCTCATAATTTTAAAACAGCTGGTTGAATCTATGAAATTCGACGGTAACACTCTGTAATTCCGTTTTCTTCGCTCGACTAATATCCGTTGGGCTAAAACAATGGTCTTCGGGTCCGCCCAACTTTTATGTTCGTCACCGAACTCCAACTTTCACGAATATTACGACAGCATTTGATTTCTATAATTCATAAATCTTGTTGATTTAAGCCGTGGGCCCACGGTCGGTACTGACAATTTAATTTGTGGCCCAAATCTGTTTAATGGCCTAAAGCAAACATCTAAACTAATTTATGGATGATTCTCGGAACCTGTTGAACTCTCGAGAATTTGTTTTCACGTTTTTGGTCCTTGTTAACTGCAATCATTTCGAAATCTACTTATTTATGTTGTATCTTACGTTTCATTCCGAAAACACCCCTTGTTAACGTTTCATTTATTAAATATCACTGTACATTCAGAAATATGAAACCAGATAATCTTAAGTTTACTCAGAACTTAAGATCCAGCACCTGTGCTATCTTATACAACAGGTTAGTCTGAAAACCACTTAACCATGAGCCATGACAACACAATTACTATTTTACAACACATAACATGTGTAAACCGCGAAATTTTAAGCACTTTAATGCCTAACGAGAGGATAACAGGTAACAGCATTTTAATATTGTACCTCTAAACAGTTTAAGCTCATTAACTCCAAGGTTCATAAGCGTAAGAGTGCTGCGATTTACGTATTATCCCTTCTAAGGGTCTTAACGAAGTTACAAGCTGAAACATTAAACGTTAAGCAGGTGGAAGGCCCGAATTATAAGGGGTTTGTGGCCGTAAACTAAGTTAGCCGTAAGAAAATGTAACCGGCTAAGCGGTCAAGAGCTTTTGTTGCTCTCGGTCGACCAATTTAATTTGAGGTTTTGAATTAAATAATATACGTCGAAGAACGTTTTATGTGCTTGTAAAACCAGGGGTTTACCTGTTCACAGGACTTAAAAGGAAGGCTATGTTTTAATCGCTTTTTGAGATGTAGACTGAAAATTATTATTGACTGATCATTTTACTTAAGAAAGATGTATGCAGCTCTTTTTTTCTCAATAAGGTAATTCAATTGTCTCATAATTGCTATGTTATTTGGTAAGACCGTTTCATCAACAGCCTATAAATGCCCACTGCTGAGCAAAGCCTCTTCTCACACGGAGAAGGTTAGAGCATTAATCACCACGCTTGCTCAATGCGGGTTGGCGATTTCAAACTTATAATTAGAAATTATAAGTTCAGGTTTCCTCACGATGTTTTTCCTTCACCGTTTGTCAGTGGTGTCTAAATAATCTTTAGAAAGTACATATAACTCGGAAAAAGTCACATTGGTACTTGCCGTTGGTAGGTTTCGAACCCGCACCCTCATGCATGAGAAGTGGGCGTCTTAAACCTCCGGGCCACCACGACATATACCGTTTAATATTTGATAATAATTATATATTTTACCAAAAGTATAATAATTATTTGTAACTTTTTTAAAATATAACGAGTAATGGTAAAATATCTTTCAAAGACTCAAGTTTCTTGAATATTTAAAGGCTACAGAAAAAGCAGGTACCTACGTGTCCTCCTACAAAATTTCTATTGTTGCGTGAAATTCGTAAATCTCGATTTACGAAGTTTAGAGCCGTGATGGACGAGGGCTAAATCTATTCGGATTTTAGACAGAGGAGAGGTATCTTACGTTTTTCAAGTTGCCAAGAGTAAGTACTTTTGTCTTCAAGAAGAAAACTGTATTTTATACTCTAGAAAGTTCTTGATCCTTTTGTGAGAAACTCGAGTATTATATTTAAATGATAACTTTTTGACTGAGTCTAAACGACTTTCGGTTGAGTGAAAATATTTTTCATGGTTTATCTATCACCAGAACTCACTCAAGTCAATATAAAATTTTTAGTTAGACTCGTAGTCAGATTTTGTAATTTTATTGCTATTGTTTCTTTTTACTGATTTTCTCTACAAGAACTTTTCTCTTTTAGTTACATCTATAGTTTTATTCACCAACGTTTAATGTGTGGGAGAGCCATGCTTCGGCACGAATGGGCCGGCTCGACCGGAGTGATACCACGGCCTCACAGAAAACCGACGTGAAGCAACGCTTGCGTTGTGTTTCGTCGTGTGAGTGAGGTTACCGGAGGCCCAATTACCCTCCCCTTCCCCAATCTCCCCAATTCCTGAATCCCCAACGATCCTCAAACTCCTAATCCCCAAAAGGCCGGCAACGCACTTGTAACGCCTCTGGTGTTCCAGGTGTCCTTGGGCGACGCTGATTGCTTACCATCAGGTGATCGATCTAATCGTTTACAGGCTTGTGCTATAAAAAAAACCACGGCCTCATAGAAAATCGACGTGAAACAAAGCTTGCGTTGTGTTTTACTTTTACTCGTGTGAGTGAGGTTACCGGAGGCCCAATAACTCCCCAGTCTCCCCAATTCCTGAATCCCCCCAATTTTCAAATTGCTGGTAATCCAAAATGCTGGTAACGTTTTTGCAACGCCTCTGGTTTATCAGGTGTCGGTGGGGACGTCGATTGCTTACCATCAGATGGTCCGTTTGTTCGTTTACATAAAGAAAATTTCAAACATCAATAGACAAATACCTAAATTGCAAATCTGCGCTAGTTAATAAAGTTTACACGGGAAGTCCAATCAATTCATTTCTAGGTATCGATAGCAATGAACCAGGTACTAAATAACTAGCTGTAGCTAGCTAATTCACACCTGTTGTTAATACGTGATGCTATTACGGTCCTCATTAGACTATGTCAACAGCGTAGCTCATGGTTATCGATTTGTTTAGACACCTTTCCTACGGAATATCGATTTGTGTTTTACAATCGATTGATTGAGAGATAAGATAGTATATTTTGCATATAGTGATGGGGACGAATACTTTGATACCTAAATTAAGGGTATAATTAATGTTGTTTTCTTTTTTTTACTTTCTTTTTATTCAATAGTTTTGTTGTAGTTAATTTTAGGTTGTTAATATGTATGTAGTTATATATGTAATTTTGTATTGTAAGTCGCAGTCGATACCAATATTTATGGCATATAGTAATAAAGTTTGTTTTCAAAGTAGCCAAAGGTAAAATATTAGTTACAATAATGTTTTTACTAAATCTTCATTATTTTACTAAATTCAAATGTTAAAGTCAAAAAGCTAAAAATATATACGCTCCATATTATGTATA